GAGGATCAGCTTGGTGAGAGTTATAGAAATCCAGATTGGTTTAGAGAGGTGTTCAGGTGGAGGGATGGCCTGATACATGCATGTGAGGAGGAGGGGTGGTCAAATAGGATGTCAGATGCTAAACTGGTTTGGGATGTCATAATGGGGGACTGTCCAGTGTGGGAAATCAGAGCATGACTGGAATGAGGAGGATGTCCCACAAAGCGATGGCTTGATGTGTGGTGTAGAGATGAATAAGGAAGACTTCTACATGGAGTGAGGGATTGATTAGGGTGTGACGGTGATATTAGATTGGTTACACATAGGATATTGATAAAATAATTAAATATATTAGAGGTAATGTTAACAGAGCTTCTCACTGTAAGAAAAGAATTGAGATTTGGAAAGGAAGAAAACTTCCTTGAATACTTTGGTTATGTTGGAATTATAAGTATTGATGTCAGTTTTGGATTTTAGCATAGATGATAGATAGATAGATAGATAGATAGATAGATAGATAGATAGATAGATGATAGATAATTTCCCTAAATCATCCACTAAAATGTTCTGGGAACAACAATACCTCAGTAGAAGTGAGCATACCTAGAGATCTTGCTTTAAGTTTCTAAAATGGGGGAAGGGCTTATTCAGAGTATGAACAGGGAAAGTAAAAGATGGGACTGGAACATTTTGTGTCACAAAGCAAACAGACACTTCAATAATGTTCGGGGTGTGGGGGAAGGTGGCCCAAACAATGTATACACATGTGAGTAAATGTAAAAATGATAAAATAAAAAAAATGAAAAAAAGAAGAATGTTGGGAACATATCAGAAGGACACAGAAATGATTTTGAGGGAGCTCTACTGGTCATATTTAGCATACATTACACGTCAAAATAATTATAGCAATAAATTATAAACATTAAATATCATAGGGAACCATGAGTTCTTACTGAATAATTACTGAATAATTAAGTTCTTACTGAATAATTAAATAAGTAAATAAATTGGAGATTTGATGAAGAACATATTATTAATATAGTTTCAAAGTATTTCCTTACAAAATACTTAATTATAAAAGGAAAGTAGTAACTATCATTAGAATATCAACAGATACCACTTTAATCAAGTGATAAAAGTGAACATTACCAGTAATGAGGTAAATCATAATCATATAGGAAGCATTGAAAAAAAGACCCTATCTGTTTTGGGTTTTTTTTTCTATCAGAGATGCATAGCCAGAACCTAATTATGAGTCAGACACAGTCTAATCAGATAAATCTAATTGAGAGATATAGTCCATGAAGTAACTGGCTTGTAACTTTTCTAGTGTCCAGTTCATAAACTTCAAGGAAAGGCTGAGAAACTGTTCCAGACTGAAAGAGACTCAAGATTCAGACTCCTGCAAATAGGCTACTGAATGCAAACTGTGTTTCTGAACAGAATCCACTTCCTATAGGATATCCATTCATTATTAGAACAAGTATGGAAACTTGAGTGGATTCTGAAGATTGGTGATATAATTGTGTATTATTGTTAATTTCCTGATTTTTATAGTAATATGTTTTTATAGAAACTAAACACTAAAATATTCAGGGATTATTGAGTATCAGACTAGGAAAAAACATGGTAGGTGTTTTTTAGGTGGTTCAGGAAAAAAGCATGGTAGTATTCATACAGTTCTTCTGTAAGTTTAATATTGCCTTGTAGATCACTTAGTCTTTGTTCATTAATTTTGACTTTGAGAAGTTTATTGCTTTTATTGCTATGTCTTCAAATTCACAAAATTCTTTTTATACAGTTTCTAATCTGCTGTTAACCTCATGTAGTGAATTTTTATTTTGGATAGTATATTTTTCAGCCTTAGAAGTTTTTTTTATAGTTTTCATTTGCTTCCACATAATGTTCTTGTTTTTTCTTCAAATCTGTTAGTATGTTTATAATAGCTTTATTATACTTACTGTATGTCTCTGTGTATGTGTCTCTTTCTTTCTTTGTTTCTCTCTGTGGTGCTGAGGATCTAATGTAGGGCCTTGTACATGGTAGGCATGTGCTCTACCCCCTGCTCAGCCCTAAAGTAGAAACTTATAGCCTTTGTCTGCTATTTTCATTTTCTCCTTCATTTCTAAGTTTATTGATAATTTCCATTATCTTTTCTGGTCATGAGTCATTTTTTCTTTCTTCCTTTTACTTTTAGTATGTCTAGTAATTTTTTAATTGTATGCCAGTCCTTGTGATCACTAAATTACTGTGTTTGGATCTTGTCCTTCAGAGGGTGACAAATGTTGTCTTGGCTGATTGTGAGGAAACTTACAATAAGCTTGATATTTTTATGGCTTGTTTTTAAGCTTTGTTAGGGAGGGTCTTGGATAGCTTTTCCACACCCATTAATTCTAAGACCTGAGTCTTCTGAGGTCTCTACTAACTGCTCTAGATTTCATAAAAGTATCTTTTCCACTCTGGCTGATCAGAACTCAAAATTCTCTCTGTAGTTTGTGAGCTTTAGGAATTGTTTGGGTTATAGCGCTCTTGTATTCATTTTATACTTAGCCATGTAGAGTTTTAGGATATATATGTATCCTAAATATATATACATATTAGGCAAAATCTTAAAGACAGACTTTTACAATTCTTTGCCCTCTTATCTCTGGTATACTTTTCTAAAAGTTTAGTCAGTTCTGCTTTCTTGAACCTCAAGCTTTGTTTCTTTGAGCTCAGTGAAACTTGGACTACCCTCCTTCTTACACCTTATTCTGGCAAGTGCCTTAACTGCCTCACTAGAGAGAGTCTAGCTAGGGATTATTAGCCTAGCATTACCTGCTGTCCAAAAGTCTGTAAACAATTTTTCATAAGTTTTATCCTGATTTACTAGTTCTTTATGATAGCCACTTAGAATAATTGCTTCTTTCTTCTCCCCTTCCCCAACACAGGGATTGAATCCAAGGCCTCGCACTTGCTAGGCAAGTGCTCTACCACTTGTGCTAGGCCCCCTAGCCCTTTTGGTTTTATTTTATTTTTGAGATAGTGTCTTGCTACCTATACCCAGGCTGGCCCTGAACTCAGTCCTCTACAAGTGTGCATCACCATATCCAACTACTAATAGCTTATAGTAGCTACTTTCATTTTCATTTAGTTTGGTTGTAATTATTTTCTCATCTAATATTGTGAGCAGTCTCAGAGTAGGTAGCTGAACTGATTCAGGGTTAGGGATTGATAGTGTGGGTGTGGTCAAAGGACAGAAGAAACAAGATGTTGGGAGTGCTGCCAAGAGAATGGTAAAAGTAGTGATTCTCTGTGTGATCTGAGGATTTTTTCAGGAGTCTAAAGGGTCTCCCCACCACTATTTGTATGAAGCTGAGATTTCATCTTGAACCAAAATAACACAAATAGGTTGGGAATGAAGACACAAAGTTAAGATTCAAGTTGTTTTTATAAAGTAAACTATCCATTAAGGAGATTTGAAGAGATAGTGAAACTGTCCCTTTTCCTACTAAATTTTTTGTTGGGTGTTTTTTGGCATGTAAAAGGTTTGTTATTGTTTTTTTTTAATGAGTTAGTAAACAACTTTCAGGTGTTCTGTTTTTATTTCTTATGCAGTAAATACTGAAAATTATAGCCACAAAAGCAAGTGGTTAGAGCCATCAATTGAGATTATAAAGGAGTCTTAAGACCTAAAAGTTTGAGATACGTGTCAGTTTTTTGACTTCTCTACATCCTTGCGTGAAGGATTAAATTCTAGAATCATGGACTAATGCTCTATTCAAGCACTTGTTTAGCTTTCTGCCTTATGATGTTCTGGACTCAGCCCTTGCACAGGGAATTTTGATTTATTATCTGTCATTTCACTCAACAACATCTTTCTTCAGCTTGGTCTTTTTGAGCTGATGAGGAACTAGCTCATACATGCTTATGTGCTGGCCTCAACTTAACCTTCTGTTCTTTAAATTTCTCTTTTTATTATTATTTTTTTGTTTTGAGATACTGGGACTTGAACTCAGAGCCTTCACCTTGAGCCAGTCCACCAGCCCTATTTTTGTCAAGGGTTTTTCGAGATAAGTTCTCGTGGAACTATTTGCCCAGGCTGGCTTTGAACCACGATCTTCCTGATCTCTGCTTCCTAAGTACCTAGGATTACAGGTGTGAGTCACTGGTGCCCATTCTTAATCATGCATGCCCTGATAATTTTTCTGCTTCAGTTTCTGCTCCCCCAAAATCATTCAGCCCTTTGCTTTCATTGAATTTGCAAAGTTTACCCAATATAAAAGTATTAATTTATGTAATCGACTTCCTTCTTTAATTTTCTGGGATGTTGCCTGGCCAAATATAATCCCTATTACTGAGTGAGGCTAAATAACAATTATTGAGTTGTTAGCCTATATATTTTTTGTCACTACTGGGGTTTGAACTTGGAGTTTCATGCTTGCTGGGCAAGTGCTCTATGACTTGAGCCATGCCCCTAGCCCATTTTGCTTTAGTTATTTTTCAGATAGGGTTTCATGCTTTTTTCCTGGGCCAGTGTTGGACTGTGATCATCATACCTGTGCCTCTTGGGTAACTGGGATTATAACATGTACCACCATGCCCAGCTTGTTTGTTCAGATGGGGTCTTGTTAACTTTTTGCCCAGACTGGCCTTGAACTGCATTCCTTCCAATCTCTGCCTCTCATGTAGCTGGGATTACAGGATAAATTCTTGATTTATAATAAACACATTATTTTGAGTGATGTGATACATATTTAAGGAAGTAAGAGGTTATTCATTCCGAGAATGTAGTGATTTAAAATGAGAATGAAGGGCAACATCTGACTTAGGTTTCAAATTTATTTTGCCACTGATTTAGGAATATCAGATGCATTTATATTAGTTAGAAGTACAGAATACATGTCAAAGTAATCTGTTCTTTTCTATTATCTGTTAATGTAGGTGAATACATAACTTTTTAAAAAGAAAAAAATTTATATGATAGCTTTAGCTGTATTTCAATGTAATTTTAAAATATTTTGCAAATTTCTTTCAGTAATCCTAAATCGGAGAGTCAGAGAGTAAACAAAAAAGTCAACAATGATGCTTCACTTAGAATTCATAATTTATCCATTTTGGTGAGACAGATAAAATATTATTACCAGGTAAGTGGTTCTTTTTTTTTTAATCTGGTATTTTAATAATGACTCTCCTGTTTATATTGTTGTGTTGTTTAGTGTCCTTCATCTAACAAATATTAAAATAAATAAGTATTATGTGCCAGGTCCTGATTTATTTGCTGGAGATTCTATTAATAGTAAAGATATAAGCAAGTACTTCATTATAAAATGATTGCTGCATTTTATGTATTTTTAAAATCAGTTCCTAGTTGCTTGAAAAGTTGTATAATGCAACAGTTTTGTTAGTTTACTCAAATTATTCTTTTGAAGAGTGTGCTTTTTACTGTCTTTAAAAAAAAAAAAAAAACATAGTTGGAGCTGTGGCTCAAGTGGTAGAGTGCTTGCCTAGAGGCCCTGAATTCAGTCCCCAGTACTATAAAATAAAAGCAAAAAAACTTAACTTAAAATGCGTATTTCTGTTTTTTTAATATTACCATTCTTAAGGCTACTGATGTGCCCCTAAGAATCAGTAGAGCTGCATTACACAAATTTTGGTTTGGTGTATTTTTAAATGTCTGTTCTTATGCATTTTCTTACTTATGTTGTGATTTATTTCATTCCAGAGTTATATACAGGTGTACTTTTTAAATTTCCAAACATAGAATATTTTTCAGGTAATCTGTTTTGGTTTTTGATTGTTGGTCAAAACATGTGCTTTATGTGATTCTGAGTCTTTGACATTTATTAATAATTACTTAACTTGGCCTTATTAATTTTGTCTCTTGAACTATCAGCTATTGAGAAAGATGAGTTGAAATATCCTTTTATGATGATGGACTTAACTAAGTTTTCTGTTACATTTTTTGAAGTAAATGTAGATGGGTATAAAATTGTTAAATCTTTCTGGAGAATTGGATCATTTACCAGTAATTGTTTCCACATTTTTTTTTTATTACTGGTTTGCGTTTTTTTTTTTTAACTGTTTCTGTTGTTTTCCCCAGAGACCACTGTCCAAATTCATCTTTCACATTTAAAATAGTGAAGGCCAAATTAGTCAATATCTTTACGCTTTTATAGCTTAGTACTATGACCTTAAAATACTTTAATGCTAGCCATTCTCTATGACTTTTGAGCTCTTTTGCCTTATACTTTTGTTCTGTTATCTATTTCTATTAACTGTAAAAATTAGATACTGAAACTATTTTTGAGTCAAGGTTTCTTTAAATCAAGCCACATGTCCTTTTTCTTCCTTCCCTCATGGTTTTCTCTTATATCTCAGACCTCCCTTCTATGTCTTTTCCTTACTGAAGTACATCTTTTAAATGTTTGTTTAGAGAGAACTTATTGATAATAAAATGTCTCGATCTTTATTTGCGTGAAATTGCCTTTATCTCATTTTTTTTTGGGTGGTGCTGGGATTTAAACCAGGGCTTCGTTCATGTTAAACACTTGTTCTGCCACTGAACTACATACCCAACTCCCAACTCCCACTTTTGTTCTTCAAAGACAGTTTTTTTTGGTTCTAAGTTGACAGTTATTTTTCTTACAGTGTTTTGCAGATTTTATTAGTCTATCTCTGTATTCTTTGGGGAGAAGTCTACTTTCATTCTAATTTTTGTTCCTAGTTTGAGCTGTCTTTTTTTTTTCTCTTTGCTAGTCTTAATGTTCTCTTAATTTTCTTTTATATTCTTTAATTTGGTATCATTCAGAGATTTCTATTAGATGTGTATTAGACTTTCCTATTCTGTCTTCCTTGTTTATTAAACTTTATATTCCCAGTCTGTTACGCTATTCTATTTTATTCAGAACTCTGTTTAGCTAATTTATGCCTTATCTATGTTCAAGTCTTCTGTTTAACTCATCAATTATATCTTTCATTTTTAGTTCTGTTCTTATTATGTGTGCCTTTTCATTTTGTTCATTTATTCTTTTGATTCATTCCTTTATTTCTTCAGAAATTAAAATTATTTTCTATTTTAGATTTGCATTTGATAATTCCAAAACCTGAGCCATGTGACTATCTGAGCTCTGAATCTGCTCTTTGTTTTCTGCTTGCTATTTCTTGGTGGTAGTGTCGGTGGTGTCAGCAGATGTGATGTGTCTGTGTGTTTAAATTGTATGTTCATTTCTGGGGAGAACATTATCTATGGGAATTCTTTTTGTGTTTGGGCCAAGGATGCATTGCTTCAGGAGTATTTGTTTCCTCTTGTGCAAATAATCCTGAGCCCTGAATTTCATTTTTTAAGGCAACTTTATATTATTTTAGAAATACTGGCACACTGTAGAAAATCAGAAAAAAAAATATAGTAAGTACAAACATAGTTTCAGTGCCAGGACATTATCACTATTGTTACCTGAATAATACAGACTTCTGGATCTTTTTTCTGAGCTTATATATTTATAAATTATGTTTTATATGTTTACATTAAAAACAAAACCCTTGGGACTACTGCAAATCTTCAGGGAGACAATTCTCAGTCCCCAGCAAAGGCCAAGAAAGTTAGCTTCTTCTTTGTGTTCCTTTGCAGAGTTCCTTTGGGTGCTTTTGGTTTTTGTTTTTTTCCTGTTTTATCTTTTAACTGAAGAGTGTCTTTTTCCTTACTTTTGAGCCCAGTCATAAGTTTTAAACATTAGAAAAATTATCCATTTGCAAGTGCAAAGCCTTGAATTCAAGTCCCAGTCCCACCAAAAAAAAAAAGAAAAATTTATCCAGCTAATGAACATTAGCAGCCACCCCATTGCCCTCAATTCTCCACTCACCCCCCACCCCAGTCCACCATCTAATCTATTTTCTATATCTATATTTGCCAATTCTGGCAAATCATATGAATGGAATCATGTGGTATGTGGTCTTTTGTGGCTGACTTCACTTAGCATAATAATTTTGAAGTTTATCCATGTTGTGACATGTATTAGTGTTTCATTCCTGATTATATTGCTTTCTTGGTTCCTTGTGGTCTTCCTTGCCCCATGCCAGGTATTGAAATTTTCTTTGTACTAATCATGTTGTTCTAATGATGTTTTAGTCACAGAGAGATATGGGAAGGAGGGAATTGTGAAGTTAGTCAGTTGTACAGTTTATCTAAATAGTTCTCAATAGAGGGTGATTTTTTTATGTCCTGGGGACATTTATCAATGACTAAAGACATTTTTTGGTTGTCACAGCTGGAGGGACATTTAGTGAGTGGAAGCCAGCGATGCAGCTAAGCATCCTATAATACACAGTTCCCCAGAACTAAGAATTTTCCAATCCACAGTTTTAACAGTGTCAACATTGAGACCCAGATCAAGAAGTCCAAATAGTAATAGTGCTAAAACGATACTGGAATTGATTTTTCTTGACTGTTTCTGCTTTAAAGACATATGACATTGGAGAGTGAGTGAAGCAAACAGCAGTCACTCTTCTGCATTGAAGGGGAGGAACCAAGGGAACTGAGCACTCTATGTGTAGGTCTCAGCACTTTCAAACCAAGCCCAGGAGTAAAGCTCCTGTGGGAGGGAAGTGGCTGCAGAAATCCAGTGATCTCTTGACCTGGACTTAGACCTGTTAATCCTGGCTCGCAGCAAACCACACGTGGAAGGGAGGCAGCTCTAGCAGTCAAGCTAGACTGCATGGTCAAGCAGTCTGCTGACCATGGTCTTAGAGTTCTTGTCTGTTCAGTAATTGCAGGCCGTGGGGCTTGCTCCCGTCCACAGAGATCAGGCCACTGGCCACTGTGCCCTCAGCAGCCTGTGCTATCTATTCCTTAAATTTCTCTGCAAGTCCATGTCAGATCTGCCTCCTTTTGAGACTACTTTTGGTGGCCATCTCCCACCCAGACTCGGCAGGGGATATCCCCAGGCTCCCTGACTTGTGATTGTTCCTTGTTTACAGGTCTCCTGAGAAGCTCAGATCAAGTAGTAGGCCCATTCTCAAGATGGTGCCTAGCTGTAGCACTCAGAGATATAGGGAGTGATGCAGTGGATTTCTTCTGCAATGCCAGCCTGCCACACGGGAGGAGTCACTATCACACCAAATCTGTTCACTGAATTTAAGTCTTGGGAGACCTGCGGGTTTTTCCTGTGACTTTTGTCACAAAGACTGCATGGCTTACCTTGTGGTTAACAGCTTCAGCTCCCCTTCCCTCATGGAACCTGGGTCAGAGATGTGAATTGTTTCCTTTTTTTTTTCTCTCTGTTGCTTTTCTGTTTCTCTGTGCCTTTTAGCTGTCTGTCACCTCTCCTTGATTCCTAATGCTCTTCCTTTCTTGGAATATAGTCTCTCCCTTGTTACATTGACTCATTCACAGATTCACATGGAGTTAACTAATCCACCATCCTACCCTAAAAATATCTGGGTCTTTAAATTATATTTGAATAATCACTAAATGTTTATATGTGGTATGTACTTGAAACAGTCTTTCTTATAATCTATTTGGAGTATGAACTTTAATAGACACAAACTTGCATATCAATTAAATTGTTTTAGGTGATCTGTACCTAGAAAAATATATACAAAGCCAACTAAGGTAGTAGGAATGAAGTTATTTGTAATACCTTTAAGGCATTTTTGCTTTATTTTCCTGTTGACATAATGTCTGTCCATTTCTTTCTTTTACCTACCTTTGTCTAATGATTGTAGTTCTCCAACTCTTCTGGATTGTCTTCATGCCAGAGTAGAATTTCTACTTTTTTAGTGAAACTTGGCTTTTATGTCCCTGAAAATGCCCAAATCCTCTTTATGTGAATATTTGCATGTCTTTAAATAAATAATTTAAACCTTCTGGACCTTTACCAATATTCCTCATTCCTGCTGCTTTATTTTTATTTTTAGTACTCATCAACAAAAACACATTGTTTTCCATGTACTCTACTAAAATGTAAGCTCCTTGAGAGAAGGATTGTTTGTTCAATGCTATCCTTGTAGTGGCTATGTATGTAATGTATGGCCTCTAATAGATATTGAATAAATATTTATAGAATAATGGACAGACTTGATTTGCAAAACTTGTACCTCTTTTAGTTGCATTGTTAAAAAATTTTTTGTTATATTTTTATAGGTTTCTTATCACTTAATAGCAAATTCTTTGCTGGTTTATGTATATGTTATCTTGACCTGTCAATTAATTTGTTCCTTAATTAATCTTTTTCCATTTCTTAAATACCTTAGAGATTAATATCTGTACAGCTACGTGAATTCTGAGGGGTCTGGGAGTTACATAATAAAAGCTTAATAAAAGAATTCAGTTTTTAATCCTCTGTCTCTTATACCTTATACATTTTTATTTTATTTTTATCTTTTTGGCATTACTGGGGGTTGAACTCAGGGCCTCAATCTTGCTAGGCAGGCTCTCTTCCACTTGTGCTACTCCACCAGCCCACCTTGCATATTTTAAAATATTATTTGTAAGATTAGAATAAGAGAAATAAAAGAAATTTTTGCAAAAACATAACTATAATCCTCTGAAGAACATGTAGGGAAAGCAAGTAGATTTTTAAATAATTTGCTTTTTAAATTTTTATGTAGTCTTTAACTGCCTTATTACATAGTATTACCACTTTTAGACATAAAATTAATACTTGAAAATAAAGTTTAAGGTAAAAATTTCACATTAGCTCTAATGTTTAATAACCTTCAACAATTTAAAGTTTTTCATAGTTTGAGTCAGGCACTGGTGGCTCATGCCTATAATCCTAGCTACTCAAGAGGCTGAGATGGGGAGGATCGACATTCAAGGCCTGCCTGGACAGATGGTTTGGGAGGCTTCATGTCCAAAGTAAGCAGAGCAAAATGCACTGGAGGCATGGCTCAAGCAGTAGAACACCTGTTTTACAAGTGTCAAAGAATTCAAGTCCTAGTCCCACCAAAAAAAATTTTTTTTTCATATTTTGTCTCACTTTCTACCCTTCCCAACAAAAGGCATATATAGGTAGTAAGTCAGGGTGCTAAATTTAAGCCTGGGTATTCTGATTCTCCTTCGTCACAGTGCACTATACTAGACTTTTACATTCTGTACTAGAATACCTTTTTAGACGAAGTGGAGATAAGTTTGAATTTAGCAATTTGCATTATTCGAATATAAACAAATTCACAACATAAAGATAAAATTGTGTTAACATAAGGCCATTGATGATACCATTTGGTGATAAGGGTATATGAGATTGCTTTAATCATTTTGGGAAAACTGACTTAAGATGGTAGCATGGGGAAGCATAGTAGATGGGAAGTAAAGAATTGCTAAGGAAGAAGATGCAGGAAAGAGTAGTAGATCACATTGAAGATTACAATTCACTTGGGCAGTTTTGCTTACAACAGTATACTGACATAGAATTTTGCATAGTAAATCAATAAAATTAAGTGCTTTGGAAATAGGTTTTGATTCATGTTACTAAAAAGTAAATGGTTTAAATGAGTTCTTTTTTGTCTGTGAAGTCTTTAAATAGAGTAAGATAAAGCTTTACTAAGTCATTTTCTCAGTACTTAATGAAATTTAAATCTTCTCTTTATGAGGGTAATTGAATTCGAAGGTTTTTTATTCTGACATAAGTTATCTTCATGAACTAGGGTATAGGGTATAGCCTATGATTGCTTTTTAAAGAACACACCTATAATGATAGTTTTAATGATAATTTTGCTTTAAGGCATGAAAACTAAAAATTAGAGTAAATTACAAATTTATTCTTTATACCCTTTTAGCTGTTAAATACATGACTGTAACATTCTTCCATGACACAGCTTGCTTTTGGGGGACGGGTGGGAGTGAGGAGTAACTCTTCAGGGCTTTGTGCCTGCAAGGCAAGTGCTCTTTACCACTTGGCCACACCTCCAGCCCTTTTGCTCTGGTTGTTTGGAGATAGGGTCTCATTTTTGGCTGGCCTAAAAAACAATCCTCCTATTTTTAGCTTCCCTTCTTTGTGGAAATAACAGGTGCAGGCCACCATGCCAAGCTTTTTTCTGTTGAGGTGGGGTCTCGCAAACTTTTTTGCCTGGCCTGGCATGGAACTGTGATCCTCTTAGTCAACCTTCTGCATAGCTTGTGATGATAGGTGCACACACCTCACCTAGCTGTTGGTTTTAGTGGAGGCTCACAAACTTTTTGCCTAGGCTGGCCTCGAATCATGATCCTCCTTATCTCAGCCTCCCTAGTACCTACGTGAACCACTGGCACCCAGTTGGCTTAACTTACTTTTAACTGAAAATTCATTAGTTAAATACCCAAACTCTGTATCATTCTTTGAGGTAAGTGATTTTAGCATCCACTAACCATATACAAATGCTCTAATGGATCTAGAATTGCAACTAACTTTTAACTTTATAAATTAACTTTTCATAGTTATTTTTCGTGGTTATTTGCTTCTTTGCTATGTTAAAGCATGATCCCCAAAAAGTTGAATACTTTGAAAAACATCTCAGTAACTATTTAATGTATAAGTAGTGCTGTAGTTAGGGCAACTTGTAAAGAAACTGTTGTACTTATTTCTGTAATCTTGCAGTGATTCAATAATTTCACATATCATCTATCTATTCTTTAGTCTAATGTAGTCCATATCCTTTGTAGCATGTCATCAGTGTCAGTGGTTATAATGGCAGACATGTGTTCTTTCATTTCCTCAAGGAAAAGGTAGTGTAATCAGAAGGTGCCTAAAATGAGTAATTTTAAAACATTCTTCTTTTTCTGAATCATTCTCTGCCATCAGGATTCGTACATATACTTGTCTCTACAAGTTTGACAGTAGTCAAACCAGCTATCTTAGATTCAGGAAAGAAATAATAATTTATTGAACAAGAGCTCGCTTTTGTAAAATGATCATAAAACAGGATTTTTAGTAAAATAATTGGCTTTCTTCTTTTTTTTTTAAATTACTTCCCTTAATTTAAAAATCAGTTGACATTTTTATCTCCTTCAGAAAAAAGGACATAAGAGTGTACATGCTTAATCTTTCAGTTAGGAATATTATTTAATTTTCTAGTATCAAAACATCTGATTTCCAAATAATAAATATTAGATTAGTTCAACTTAGGTGCTTTTATTTTGTGGACAATAAGTCTATTTGATATTATAATTTTTGTTACTAAATTCATTAAAGTACAGAAGACTTAAAACCTTTTATGTCTTTTCTCATTTATTTTTGAAATTATGGTACAGTGCATCCAAGACAAGAGTTGATGAGTATTGTATAGCTAGCATTGGCCATACCATAACTGTTGCTTATTATTTTACAGGAAACTTTGCAGCAATTGATTATGATGTCATTGCCAAATATCTTAATCATTGGCAAAAATCCCTTTTCTGGTAAGTATTAAAATTAGTACATGTGATACCAATGTTTCATCTTTGTGTAATTTTATATTTTTACCAAGAGCTTAATTATTTTGACATTAATTCATTAGGTTCTTCATAATTCTATAGAAATTGAAGGTTGTGTTTCAGTTTGTAGAGACAAAACAAACTCAGAATATGTGTAAGTTGTAGGTGAGACCAAACACACATTTAACACTTAATTCAGCATTTTTTTTCTCCTGTACCAAACTGATACTTTTTAATAATTATTATGATTTTTAGTGTTTCATTGTAAACAAGTATAGAGGATGATAATAGAAGGTGATGTAGTTGTAAACTGAAAAGAATATAACTTAGAAAAGAAATGATTTTGAAATATTTTCAGTTTTGTATTCATATATCTACCATCTCCTAATGTCAGAATTGTTGGAAGGGTATTTGGTTTTGTTTTTGTTTTCTTGAACCTAGGGCTTCATGCATGCTAGGCAAGCACTTTACCACTGAGCTATACTTCTACCCCTGAAACTAATATTTTACTGGTCATATGTTATTTATTTGGTGCTGGGGATTTTTTTGAATCCAGGACCTCACACAAGCTAAGCATACACTACCACTGAGATATACTCCTAGATCCCAAGTTTTAATTTTTAAACAGTTAAGGAAACTGGCAGCTGTCTAACCATTTGAACAAAAGACTTAATCCTTATAGGCTATATGATAGCCAAATCAAATATATCTTCATCTCCTCCATCCTTACCCTAGTCTCACAAACAAACATAGAACCAAAATAAGATTGAACACTTGTTTTTTGTTTTTTGTTTTTAGAGAAAACTATCAATTAGATGGAAATAGAAATAGTTATCCAGGCGCTGGTGGTTCACGCCTGTAACCCTAGCTACTCAGGAGGCAGAGATCAGGAGGATCACAGTTTGAAGCCAGTCCTGGCAAATAATTTGTGAGATCCTGTCTCAAAAAAACCCATCACAAAGAAAAGGGCTGGTGGAGTGGCTCAAGTGGTAAGAGCATATGTCTAGCAAGCGAGAGATCCTGAGTTCAAACCCCAATACCTCCAAAAAGAAAAAATAGTTAATGATAGCTATGATTTATTGAATGTCTATTTTGTATCAGGTATTACACTTTACATAGTATCTTTTCTCAGATAAAAAGATTGGCCTTTAGGGAGAGAGATATTTATTATCTAAATGAAGATATTTAAGAGTCAGAAAAGATACTGATAATAATTCAGATGGAATTTTATATATCTGAGACAAATTGAGATAGTCACTCTAGATTTAGGTTCTATTGCTAATGGGCCAAAGAACTGAGATTCAAGTCTGGTCTTCCAAACTTATTATAGTATGTTGACTTTTGATTTATTTAGTGAATTCAATTAGTACTTCAGTTAAGTGAATTTGGAGTTTATGTAGTATTTACAAATACTGCAGGATGTTTAATTATACAAATAAATAAAGGCAAGAATTTTCTATGTAGAATAGAAATATTTTCAATTCCATGTACATTTAATACATGCCTACCATTTTATAGGGATCAGGAATGTAAAGAAATCATCCATGCTCTAGAGGATCTTCTGGCTTGTTGAGAGACACATAGATTACTGGGAAATCATGTAATAACTAGTTTGAAATATAGATATGTATAAAGTATGAAGCCTTATAAGCTATGGAGCCATTCATTTTTCTTAAAGTTGACAAATTACTGAGTTTGGGGCCATTGCTGATTGGATCTGGGAAGACCACACAGAGATTAAATTAGAGCTGTGCCTGGAATGATGAGTAGGGGAAGAAAGGCAGAGAGAATAGCCAAAGTTAAGGTTAAGTTAAGGTGGAATGATGATTAACCTGGCTCACTGTGTCTAGAAAATAGGTTGTTTCATGGGAAGTAGGAAGAAATGTCTTAGGAAGATTTAGACTTTATCATAAGTTAACCTGAAAGTGAAAATCTGTATAGTTAGTTGAATAGTTTAAGAAAATCTCAATTGAATGATCTTGGACAGGGATGTTCTCTCCATTTCTGTTATAGTTTTTATCTACATTTTATATACATGTATTTTAGTAGCCTCACTGTAACAGACATTTAAGAATCTGATCCTTATAAGCCTATTTAAAAATTGAAGATAGATGAATCACAATGTTTAGTAAGAAAACATTACAAGGAGCCAGACCTATCAGGAGCCATACTGACTGACTTTGGGTCATGTCCCCAAATCAGTATGATTTAGTAGGCTGGGGTAATATAATTTATAGAAGAGGAGTATATTCATAGCGCACTTCTGCATGAAGCCTTGAGTCATATTTTTCCATATTTAATTCTGTCAAATTTGAGATGATTTCTTCTTCTGTTATCACATTATACATACATAGAGCTGCCTGTTTGAATTCTCCACTGTATTTATAGAATTCTTTCTTTGGATAAGTTATTGTGAATATTACCTCTAGAATTAATTCTCCAAATGTGAGAAAGAGAATTGAAATAGAGCTAAATGTTGTACTTAGTAATTGTTTATATTTCAGAACAAGGGACAGAAGAAGTTAAAAAGCTGCTTTTACTCTTACTGGGTTGTGCAGTTCAGGTAAGTTAAAATATTTCTTTCGTGTTTCTCATTTTAATACCCTATTTTTTTCATGCTCTAGTTTCTGAAAGACTTAAGAGTGAACCATTGGTTTTCAAAGTCTGTGTTAGAAAACATTAAGTATCTATATAACCTCATAAGGAGATTGTGTTGAAGAAAAATATTTTTTATTTCAAAATTTAGTAATATCATTATGTTATATAATTTAAAAATCTTCATTTTTTTTCTTTTTTTTTATGTTGAGTCTTCCAATGGTCCTGAGTTTTTTAAGTCTCTTCAGAGGTATTTTTAAAAACCCCTTCCCAAAATTTCTTAGGATTTATATTTGTATGTGTTTATGTTTTAGGGAAGGGGAATTAACAATAAAAGGGGGTAGAATTTGTGAAAAATATTTTAGGAGTCTGGATTATTTTTATATTGCCCCTTGACCAATGATTATATGGATGAGTGATGACAATATTAAGCTATCTGAATTCATTGTGGAATGAGGTTACTTGTAAACAAATAATGAAACCACTGATAATATTTTACTTTCCTATACCTAAAATTATATATCACAGATTGTGTTTTATAACTTATTGCCTGGGAGAAATATTGTTTTTGTTATTGTGTTATTGGCACATAGTAATCGTACATATTTATATGGTACAGTGTGACATTTCAGCACATGTGAACAGTGCGCAATGATGAGATGAGGATGCTTGGCACATCTATCGCTTCAAGACATTTGTTACATTTTTGTGTTGGGAGCGTTTAAAATCCCTTCTACTGGCTATTTTGAAATACTCAATTAATTTTGTATACCATAGTTATCCTGCTGTACCATATAGAACATTAAAAGTTATTTCTCTTATCCAGCTACACTCCTTTAACCCTATCGCCTTTCAAATTCTCCTCTATGTTCCTCTTCCAAACCCCCTCCTAGGCTCCAATAACTATGATGAAAGCTATATCCTTGTACAACTTGTGTTATTAAAGTTCCATGCTATGTAATGTACAAGTGTTTACTTCAAACCATTAACCAAAACCATCATTATTACCATCTTTAAGACCAACAAAAAAGAATATAGAATCTGAGCCACATCCTCTTAGCTTTTTTTTTTGTGACTCCCATGGCAGTATTCCAGATGCTACAAAATAAAAAGGGTTGCGTGAACCAGTGTTCCTTTTTCTAACAAACTGAAGTTTTTGATAAGTTAACTAACTCAGCCTCTTCTATTTCTACCAGTGTTTTCAAAAATTTTTACCAAGAATTTTTTATGTTTCAATGACTGTTGATATTCATGTTTTAAAATAACTTCTGTCATTTTACTGTACTAGTGAAATAAAGCAGAGCTATATAATGTATTTATTTTTCTTAAAACCACTTAATGAAGCATTGCTCAGAAAGCTAGTACCATAACATTAGTTATGTAAATTCCTTCTTATTAATACACAGAACTAAATGCTGCATAAAGAAAAAAAAACATATAAACAAACCTTACTTTGTGAGGAACATACCTTCTAAAATAGCTTATATTAATATTACATGGATAATAATAATGTTTTCTTTCTTTTTTGAGGTTGGGGGTGGAGGCCTCCTAATCTTTATGTGCCTTAGAATTGATGAAAAACTACAGGAGTTGTACCTGAGATTCTTAATATAAATTAACATATATAACATATGTAACTATAAAAACAAAATAGTGCAAATTATTTGGAAATAAGAAATATTTCTCATGCTTCCAATCCAGTACCCTGTCCGTGCCTTTGCATTGTCTTCATTGCTTTTCCATAGGTAGCTTCTTACATTTCTGTCATCATTTTAACTCTTACATTCCAGGGGGAAAACATCCTGGTCTTCATATCCCACCCCTTCCAGCTCTGTGGAATCTGTCTTTCCAGGGGTTAGATGAGACAAAAACTGTAATGGAGATCACCAGTTGACATCTGTATGGCGATGCCCTCTTTCCTTTGGCCATTCGCCTACCCATTCTTCCTAAACCACGCTCCCACACCTTGAATTGGTCATGGCCTCTTCTCTTTGTGGATTATCATCCAGGGTGCTTCTCCCCTTTCTAGATCAAGAATTCTGTTGGCTAAAATGATCACCTTTTGCCAAATATCCATGTTAGCTTTGACCTTCTGAATATACTAGACATTGTTGGACATTAATTATTAAATTGATTTTATCCTAGTCCAACGAATTGTTTACCATAATGCTGGAAGATGCTGGGTGGTGAAAGATGGTGGTCAGCAGGCAATATTGTGGGATATCTTTTTGAGAGTATTCAGGGAATTGGGCAGTGTATTTTGTAGTGGACTATTTATTTTTTTTTGCCTGCTCAGTATCCATTCTTTCTCTCTTTTTTAATAAAAGCATTCAAATCTTCCTTTAGGAATCATCTTGTCCTCTTCACTTAGTCCACATAATTTGGGTAAAGCTGATTATTGTCAAACTAGGGATGAGAACAGGACCTGTATATGGTAAATGAGAAAACTGTTCCACAGTGGGAAACAGTGTGTAAGGAGGACTTTGGGAACATCGTGAGCCAGGCTTTGCTTGCTTGAGTCCACCCATCCACCCTTGTAGATTACTTCGAGTAGCACCTTGGCATAGTTTCTGCCAAGGTCCTGGAAGCATTGTTCCCCGGCTGTGGAGTTGGAAGCCAGTTCAGCACTGACGAAGGTGCTGTTGGTGCTGTTGTCTCAACAACCAGTGACAACCCTAAGCCCAGAGACTTCCCAGAATTGACTCCTTTCATGTGGTCCATGTAAATACAGGTATTGAGTATGAACTTGTTGAGGATGTTCCTTGCAGAATGCACAGTCTGGTTTGCCAACTGAGGTAATATGCTTACAGACTATACCATTCCTCTGATATGTTTGATTTTTCTTGTTCTTTGGGCTGAGTGGCTTCAGGACCTTCCTCACAGAAAATGAGAAAACTACTTCATTCCTCCTCGAGGAGGCATTTCTTGTTGCACAATCTTTAGTTCAATCCCGGACTTTTTTTTTTTTTTTTAATGGCACTGGGGTTGAGCTTAGGGCCTCAGGCTTCATAGGCAGGTGCTCTACCACTTGAGCCACTGAGCCACTCCACCAGCCCCTTTTTGTTCTGGGTCGGGACTGTTTCAATAGAAGGAGTGCTGGTTGTTGCCTTAAGAATATCAACCAAAGGGTCAGCTTGGTCACTGGACTCTCCTCACAGAACTATTTTTATCAGGTGTTTCATAAATAGAACCAGGCAAAGAAAAACCTCCAGGTAATTGCCAGTGCTGGAAAGGATGCTACCATGATGATCCACAGGTTCACTATTCTAGAGGACAGGTTGATAATTAAGGTATTTCCTTAAAACAGAGGAAAAACAGGTAGGTGCATCGCAAGGGGAAAATCTGACAGGGGGCACCCAAAGAAGTTAAAAATGCTGTTCATGGAGAGCCTGTACTTCACCTCAAAAACTGATTTACTACTGTTAAGCCTGTTTTGTTTATTCCAATTTGAGAACCATTAGATATCTTGTTCAATAGCCTTATGAAGCTAGCCTCAAAATCTTGGAGGCCTGGGTTGTGGTCTCCAGCCTGAATATTTCAGCTTTTGACCAAGCATTGGCTCAGTGTGGGCAGGTCCAGATGCACACACCTGAGTAGCTGAAGGAGCACACCTGGTGCCATGTGTGTGCCCTCTGCAGAATCCTGGGTGACTTCAGATAGGGATGTGGGCAGCATGACTTGTTGGGCTTGGCTTGCCTCTCTCAACTTCAGCACATCCAAGTGGTTTAGAATAGCAATGAGGTTTTCTAGTGATGTTAAGTAGTATTAATTTTTTTCTACAGATAATATGTTTACCTGTGTGTAAATTCATATAATCTGGAAAGAGATTCACATAAATCTGGAGATTATTTCAAATAGTCATTGGAAAGGAGAGGAAGAATATTTGGGTGGACTAAGGTAGAAGACACAGAATGGGAAAATTGTATAAAAGGATAATTGTAAATATATATGGATGTGACATTGTGAAGTAAGCAGGAAAATAAAAGTGGTTTTGAGATGTTTAGAAAGAATGAAGAAGTGAGGAGGGAAATTTTAAGGTGGAAGGGAGGAATTTATCAACTTTATTATTGTTTTGGTGGTATTGGGATTTGAACCCAGTGCCTTGTGCTTGCTAGGCAGACATTCTACCATTGGGCCATTCCCCTAACCCTTTTTGCTTAAGTATTTTTCAAGTAGTGTCTCTCATTTATGCCTGAGTTGGCCTGGACTGCAATTTTTTTATTTACACTTACTGCCTAGCTGGGATCACAGGAGTATAATGCCATACCCAGCTTTTTTTTTGTTGTTTTATGGGTTGAGATGGGGTCTCACAGACTTTTTGCCCAGATTGGCCTGGAACCACTATTCTCCTGATAGCTGCCTCCTGAGTAGCTAGGATTACAAACATGAGCTACTGCATCTAGCTAACTTCGTTATTTTATTTTTTTTTAAACTGAGTAGGTCAGAGAGACAATAAACAAAATGTGACAGGGTAAGTTTAGGGAAGTTTGTCTAGACTCAGTGGAGGTAATCTATGCTATGTTTGGAAGATGTCCAGGACACAGTAGTAAATTTATTTGAGAATAAATAAATACGAGCAAATTTGTTTTTTTCATATTAAAAGAGAGGACACATTTTTTCAACTTAAACCAAAGACTCAGGGAGACCATTGTCCTAAACTGTGTCAACATTATTCAGAATTTTTATAGATAAGCACTCTGCCACTTGAACCACACCACCAACCCTTTTTGCTTTAGTTTTTCAGTTAGGGTCTTGCACTTTTGCCCAGACTAACCTCCTCAAACCACGATCCTCATACTTTCACCTCCCAAATAATTAGAATTACAGGTATGTGCCACCATGCCCACCCCAAAGTTTTTATGTAAAAGTGGAAATGAAAGGTGGTCAGGCCCTAGTCCTTGATGTGATACGAACTTATCAAGAAACTTGGAAATCAGACTTTGTATGTACTTTATGAGTTGTCTAAGGCCAGTTCTTGGGAATTTTCATTATTCCCAAGATCTGGCCATAGTTAGGATTCTCCCGTATCTTTTTCAGTGGTAACACAAGTCTCCTGTATCAGTTCTGAGCATCACCTAAAATCTTCACAGATGTATGGTTCTTTATTCTAGTACCAATGTAGTTGAAAGATTCACAACTAAGGTCATTATAGACAGGGAAACATTTTTTTGCAGGGTTTGTTTGAAAATTTCTTTGTTCTAAAACCATAAAAATTTTGCCCCTCTTCAGCAGAACTTAGATTTTATATTGGTGCTGTCTGGTATCCAGAAATATTATTTATTTTGGAGTTTGGCCAAGTTGGGCCAAATGTGCTGAAAGTGACAAGTGTGGTTGAAGTTAAAATTTTGACCTTTACACATGTTCACAGAGGCATTTCTAAGTTTAGTGCTTGATTCTGAAAACCAGTTTTCAGTTTGTTCAGTTTGAGAGCTACAATCTACCCACAGTTACCTGTACCCTGTTATCAGTTATCTGTAAAGCATCTTAGAAGTTAGTAAGTTAGCACTTTAATTATTCTATTACATTTTGGCAAATAAACTAATTTCTGGCTGAGGTATTTCTTTTCTGGGAATGAATAAAATAAAAAATTTAAAGGGATTTTGTTTTTGCTGAGATTGTTTTTATTTTAGTTTTTTAGTTGTGATAAAATGTAATAAAATTTAACATTTAGCCATTTTTAAGTATGTAATTCACTGGTATTCATACTGTTATGCTTTCACATTTTTGTGTAATCATCATGACCATCCATCTCTGGAACTTTACTTATTTTCTGAAATAGAAACCTCTGTAGATATTAAACAAGAACTTAACATCTCTTTTCACCCAGTCCTTGGCAACCACCATTTTACTTTGTCTTTGTTAATTTGGCTACTCTTAGGTAACTCAGTTAATGGAATCATATAGTATGTACAATTGGCTTCTTTTGTTAGGAAGACCCATCCATGTTGTCACAATGGTGGCTTTTAAGGGTGAATGATACCTGTTGTATTTGCATACCACTTTTTGTTCATGTGTCAGTGGATACTTGGGTTACTTTCATTTTTTGGCTATTATAAATAATGCTTCTGTGAACATAGGTGTTCAAATACCTGTTTAGTAGACACTAAAATTTCAGTTTCTCAGTTATTTTAGCTACATTTCAGGTACTCGGTAGCCACATTTAGCTAGTGATTACTCTATTGGACAGTGCTAAAATAGAACATTTGGTCTGATTATCTGACCTCAAAGTTTTAATTTTCTTTTACTCTCTTTACCATCTTTGCATTCTTTTTCTTTTATGTCCTTCAAGATCCTATGAAATTCATCCTGGATTCTAAGAAAGCCTAGCCTGTTTATAAAACATTTTCAGAATTCTAGACTTTGAATTAAGGTGAGACTCAGTAGAAGTTCTGTATATTTTAAGGGTAAAGGAAGAATTCTTACTGCTATGTGCTAAGAATATGCTAAAGGGTTAGTTCTTAAAGTCAGTATGAATAAAGATAGAGTGGTTTTCAGACTTAGAAAAGGGAAGTATATCTGTTCCATTTAAAAGCAGAAAAACGGACAAATGCATTGAAGATTTCTTTAGTAAGCTTTTACATATTACCTTTCACAGTACCCTGCTATTCTATTTGATTGACTCAGAATCTATGTGTAAGTCAAAAATTATAGCAGTGTTAAATTTAAAAATTGGCGTTAACTATCCTTGAAAAGTTAATTCATATATGCTAGTAGTGTATAATTTGAAAGTAATTATTAATTGTTCTCACAAGGCCTGTCAGATATTTACTAGACAAAAGTTAGTGTTTTTAAATCCACTGATTTCCATTCCATTCCATTCTCCCCAAAACTCTGATTTCCTGTTCACAACTAAGAATTGTGCATTCCTGGTGATTTAGTTTTAAACATTGTTATATCATCATAGTAATTTTGTTTTTACAGCATGTAGAACTTTGTGCACTGGATGGAATGTTTAAATTGGATAACAGCAGAAATAGAGTATTATAATTTGATAAAGAAACATGTAGAATATAAATCAGACCTTATTTTCTTAATGATCAAAGAGGCAGTTTTTCTTTTTGTGGGTTTGTTGTCTTCACTGGTAGTTCAATAATTAGCCCAGGAGATGCATCTAAGCTCAACAAGGCAGTGTTGTCTATTTTGTATGCACTTCTCATTTGGTAGCTGCAAGAATACAGTTGTACTAGCAGTTGGGTTGCAATATAAGAGATGTAGATAGAGTCAGAAATTAAGATGTGTATAAAATTATTACTTAATATTTTCTGGAAGGAAAAAGATTCATTTAAATTTATATAAAGCTTTTAAAAGTTCACAATAAAGAATTGTCGCCTTTATTCCATTTAGTTACATGTATATTTACATATACTCTTAAATTTTGCCCTGGGTAACTTTATATTAGAAACAACCCAAATATTGTATTACCTTATAAATACTAAACTAGACCATAAAAGTGAGTTTCTTTTATTACGATTAGTAGGATGAAGCTGTGAGAATGAATTGTAAGCTTGAAGTAAAAATTGCTTAAATTTTTTTTTTCCTCAAAAAGAAAGGCTGTGTTGTTTGGTGATAGCCAGGGACTGACTGAGCATTTTGGCTGTATTCCGAATTCTGCCACTGACTCACTGTGTTTTTTGGCAAGTAACTTATTCTCCCTGAAACAAGTTCTTGATTCTTTACTTCTGTTTGTAAAGTTAGCATAATAATATTGTACAGACCTCACATGGGCTGTGTAATGTTTTCCCACTTTAGAACTTTCCAGCATAAAAATAGTATACATTTTCATTGCTTTGCTTTTTAAGATAAATATTTCTAAATCATAATTTCTTTATTAGGTAAGTATATTAGATAGGTAATTTAAATGTAAATCACAACCTTACTGTACTATTAAAAACATAACTAATCCTGATGAGTTTTTAGTTATATACAACATTTCAAGGATAATATTCTACAAATATGAATGATATTTTTCATTTGTTTTAGTGTCAGAAAAAAGAAGAATTTATTGAAAGAATTCAAGGATTAGATTTTGATACAAAAGCAGCAGTTGCTGCACATATTCAAGAGGTAATGACCTGTGTAAATTTTATGTTCTTTTTATGAAGTTTGTAGTATGTTTACTTATATATCTCCCCAAATATTTCACAGGATAAAAAAATATAAACGAACCCTACTTTTATACTTTTCTCTTTAGAGGTAGTACCTTAAGTGTATCATTGCACAGTGCCTAACTATAAATTTACTGTTGCCTTTATCTGTTAGGATATAGGGACAGTGTTATTTGGGGAATGAAGTATATATCTTTATTAGACAGCACACGCAGAATGAATCATAGTAAATGGAAGCAGTAGAAAATGCAAGACTGATTGTAATTCTAACCTTCCTGTAGAGAGGCGAGATGATAGGCTGAGCATTATGTCATTCCTGCAATTTTCTCTTAAATGAATGGACATGAAATTCTTATCAAAGATACTACTTGAATTATAAATACATGATGATTGTTAATATTTGTATAAAAACTTTAGGGCATAATGTGCAGTGTCAAATAATTGACATTAATTACTGGGGTTTGAATTAAGGACCTTATGCTTGCTAAGCAGGGGCTCTACCACTTGAGCCACACACCCACAGCCCTTTTTGCTTTAGTTATTTTTCAGTAGGGTATCACATTTGTGCCTGGTTCAGCCTCAGACTGCAGTCCTCCTGCCTACTGCCTCCCATGTAGCTGGAGTCATAGGTGCCTTCCTCCATGCCCACCTTAGTGATTGAGATGTGTTCTTGATAATTTTTTTGTCCAGCCTTAACAGTTTTTTAGTCAGGGTTACGGGTATGAGCCACCATGCCTCGACCTATTAAGATTTATTTTAAAAGCTACTAGGGGCTGGCAGAGTAGCTCAAGTGATAGAGTGCCTGCCTAGCAAGTAGGAGGCCCTGAGTTCAAACCCCAACACCACCAAGAAAAAAAAAAATTGGGGGTCGGGGTGTAGCTCAGGTGGTAGAGCACCTGCCTAGCAAGTGCAAGGTCCTGAGTTCAAACTCTAGTACCACCAACCAACCAATAAATAAATAAATAAATAAATAAAAGCTGCTATATCTGCACCTATATACTTTTGAACTTTTAAACTTATACAAACTTTTAGAATTACAACTTTACATGTTAAAGTTTACAACTTTAGAATATTCAACTTTACATGTTAATTAGAAAAGGGAAAGGAGAGAGAAGGGGAGAATTTTACTTAGTGAAAATTAGTCGTGTTTAAAATGTTCTGTTGAGATGACTTCGTATTCCATATATCATCTTTTCTCTTAGTTAACTTTTATGGAGCCCATATTTCTTTTCTGTAATATTGTTTTCAATAGTAAGCATATTAGTATTTTGTAAGATAGTTTTATTGATAGTCTCTTTATATATGTATGTTTTTGCTAGCTTTGTGGTTTTATTTTGTTTTGTATTACAAGTTGCTCAATTTGCCTCCATCCTTGAAAATGTTATTTTTGCTAGTTGTTGTGAAAGTTAAAGCAAAATACCAGAATCATGGAAAGAAATGGAAATAAGCAAGAAATGTTTTTTATTTGTTATCTTTTCATTATTTTAAAAATCTTTACACTGAGGGTCCTTTCTCCTAAGGTTCTGTGAACCTCATTTTTAGAATCTACAAAGACTTAGCTATTCAGATATAAAAAGGCAGTATCATATATGCTACAGATTAAAAATCTTTTGTTTTTTAATTCAGGTGCAGTGAATTTAAAGTCTTAGCTAAGTAAAAGTTCTATTGATTTTGTTAAATTAGTTGTCTGATATGTCAGTATTACTTTCCTATTGGAATGCTTCAAATTAAATAATTTATTTTTGTTGACTAGAAAATTAATACCAATTCACTTGAAGATAATATTAGTTAAAATATATTTTAATTGTGTTTTCATCATTAGTTTCAAATGTTCTGTAGACATGTTGGTGGCTTTCATTAAGTGAGGTATATACTAGATAAGCTAATATTGTACTAAAGTCAAATCAGTATTTAAGTAGTAGCTTTTTTAAAATTTGTGTTGCTTGCCTTTCTAAAGATAACCCATAATCAGGAAAATGTGTTTGATCTGCAATGGATGGAAGTGACAGATATGTCTCAGGAGGATATGGAACCACTTTTGAAAACTATGGCATTGCATCTAAAAAGACTTATAGATGAGAGAGATGAACATTCAGAGGTTTGTGAATTTCTTTCATTATGTTACTGAACATAATGCTTTCTAACAAAAGAAAGGAACTTCAGAAGTTTTCTAGAATTGATACCCTGTTTCTTATGGATAGGTAATTAAGTATAGTCATCCCTTGTTTTCAGTGAGGAATGAGTTCTAGGACCCCCTAAAGATACCAACATCCATGAATAGTCAAGTCTCTTACGTAAGTGGTGCATTGCTTGCATATAACCTACACACAACCCACAAAAATCTTCCTTTATGTTTTAATTCATTCTAGATTACCTATAATAATACATTGTAAATGGTAAGTACATAGTTGTTGGTACTGTATTGTTTAGTTAACAGTGACAAGAAAAAGGCTGTACATGTTTAGTGTAAACACAGTTTTTTCCCTGAATATTTTCCATGTACAGTTGGTTGAATCTGTGGGTATGGAATCCACATGGAAGGCCAACTGCTTTGTGTGTGTGTGTGTGTGTGTGTGTGTGTATGGAACACAGGAACCAAAATGAAATATAAGAAAAACCCAAATTGCTAGTAAACAAATTAAAATTTGGTTTTCTTTTCTTTCCTTTTAAATTAGTATTATTTTGATTTTGTTAACTGTATGTTTTTCAGCTTATTCCCACAGCTCTGGCAATAGTACAGAGTGTGAAACTGAAAATATAGTTGATGTAAGTGGAAAAATCATTGCCTTAAAGCATAAGAATTTGCTTAAGGTTTATTTTGTAGTTTTATTGCCACAATTTGAAGTTGGAAAAATAAGTAATAAATAAAAGGACAATAACAGGTGTTATGAATAAAGAGTCCCACAGAGAGCTTAATTTTTTGTAGTTAATATGAGGTGTGATTTATTATAAGCTTCTTTAAAATAGAACTTTGCTCTTTAGAAAGAGTAAAATTGCACTGCATTTTTTGTCTGTACTGAAAGCAGTGTATAATTTTAGAGCAGTCTAGACTTTATTGCATGCAGTATTGAATAATATTTTCTTAATAGCAGACCATTTAGGAGAAAGTATAGCTTTAACTAGCTGTTCCACTTACATGTGAGAGTTTTTGAGCTTATGTATAGAGAATTTGTATGATTGTTCTTGGGATAACTGAAAGACTATGTTGAGGAAATTCCTGAAGATCTTTGTTTTGTTTTGTTTTGTTTTGTTTTCCAGTATAGGGGTTTGAACTCAGGACCTTGCTCCCTTGCTAGGCAAACACTCTACCATTTGAGCAATGCCACCAGCTGTTTTCTGCTTTAGTTATTTTTCACATAGGGTCTCATATTTATGCTTGGGCTGACCTGGACCACTGTTGTCCAACTTGTACTTCCCTCATAGCTGGGATGACAGGCGTGTACCACCGTGTCCAGCTCTTTATTGGTTGAGAGGTGGTCTCTTGTACTTTTTACCGTGGTGGCTGCCTTTAAACCAAGACCCTCCCAATCTTCATCTTCAGTAGCTAGAATTGTAGGCATGAGCTACTGCACTCAGCCTTAAGATTTTTTTTTTTCTCTGAACAAAACTCATATCTCTATAGGGTATTTTCAGTTCTGATGGGAATTTTCAATTTTTGTTCAGACATTTTAAAAGAAAAGAAAATGCAGGAAATACATTAAGGAAAATTTTAGAGCGCCAATTAAATTTTTAAAAAATTTGAGACCAAAGGAAGATGAATCAAAAAGTACCCCAAATATGTATCAAACTTGTCCTAGGATACTTAAATCATTTAATTTTTAATCTGATTTTTGAAGATATGCTGTATCTTTACTTGGTTTTAATGTCTTTTTACTGCATGGTCCACTGTCTAGAATGTTCTTCCATTTGTATTTCAAATGGAATTTTTAAAGGTATTCAACAAAGTTCTCTAGCATCTGAGAAATCACTTCTAAAAGTCTAACTGACTGATGGTCATGTGTAAATTGCTTTATCTCATTTATATGAAGTGATTGAGGCCCCAAGTTCAAACTCCAGTACCACCAAAAAAAATTATATGAGAAATATTACACATATTTAAAGATAGTTTATAAATGTAATAATTCTGTATCATTCAATTAGGCTAAAACAAGTTCTTATTTAGATTTCCCCCTTAAGTTTTCTTTCTGTTTTGACTAATCTTATGTTACAGTTGTTTTGTGTTAGCCTAAAAAAGTATGTATTTTGTCTCCCTGCTTTTAATTTCTCTTCACTTTTTTATTCTTAATGCTATGGACCAAATAGAGCATCACAGCCCTTCTTTTAACTAAACACCAGATAGAAGATTTTCATAGAGTTGAAATTCATTAAAATTAAAACTTTAAAATTCACAAATCTCCTTTTTTAAAAAAATTTTTATTCATTTATTCACATGTGCATACTTTGTTTGGGCCATTTCTCCCCCTGCCCCCTTGCTCTCCCCTCCACCCTCTCTCACTTCCAGGCAGAACCTGTTCTGCTCTTATCTGTAATTTTATTGAAGACAAGACATAAGCAATAATATGAAAGACAAAGCGTTTTTGCTAGTGAGATAAGGATAACTATACAGAGAGATTCCTAGCATTGCTTCCACGTACAAATGTGTTACAACCCAAGTTGATTCATCTCTACCTGACCTTCTTGTTGTCACTGTTTATTTTAAGCCAGACTTTGTGCTGCAAGCTTAGCATATTCCATCTTACTAAATTTGCACAATAATCACATTTATATATGAATATATAAGTACTTTAGGAATTTAAAGAAGGAATATTTACTTGCAATTGATAATTGGAAGAATCAAGAAAGACTTATGCTTATGCTTTAATGATATTTCCTGTCAGATTATTGAAACAGGAAATGTTAAGAAGCCTTAAATTTACAAAATTACTACCACTGAAGTCAAAATGTCTAAATAACCTTTAATGGATAATTCATCTATGTACTCTTAACTCTTAGCATCAAGTTTCTCTCTCTCTTTTTCTTCTAAAAAATATTTTACAGCCCACAGTTTTTTTGTGCTCTGTTCACTGATGTCCAGAAGCTCTTGATGTCTTCATTTCACCACCTGCTAAGTTTAGATGTACTGTCTTTTGTACTTTTTTAAAGTTCCCCATTTTGCATATTACTTAGTTGAATGTTATTTTTTTAGCATCCCTTATTATGCATAGTACTATGCTAGACAAGAGAATAAGAGATGCGAAGGTGGTGTAAGGAAGATTTATCTGGTTTATTGACAAAAACTACATTATTTATAAGTGAAAAATATGAAGTGCTAATTTGTGCATGAATCAAGTATTTATTAAATACTTACTATATAGCAGGTACTGTTGTTGCAGTCAGGGAATGTTAGAGAACAAGATTAAAGATAATTGGAACAGTAAGAAAATAGGGAGATTAATGACACTTTTCTAAAGAGGGAATTGGGATGGGGATACTTGGTAGGTAGACAGGGTAAAAAAAATGGTGTTAATGGACATGTAAACACCCCTTCAAAAGCAGCAAGAAAGAAATATGTTTTTTCTTTTTATTAGATAGTAGAAAATTGCACACATATCTTTGGAGAACAAGGAGACAAAAGTCAATAGGAAGAAGGAAATTGAAAATGTTTTAAGTGAAGAATATATGTTGGTTTGAAAAATGCATAAAAATGGAGGTGGTTTTGTTTCTTGGGTAGAAGTCATTTGTTGGACATGATAGCAGTTTGTAGTTGGAAGCTTAAGTAGAGAAATATATATGTTATGTAGGTTGCATATATATAATATATATGCAGGGGTTTTGGTCAGTACTGGAGTTTGAACTTAGTCACACTTGTTATGTGACTTTGGTTAAGTTAATCTATATGAGCCTCAGTTTCCTCATGTCTAAAATAGACATAATATCTCTGTTGAGCTTATAGACTGGATGAGATCTTGTTGGACAACCCCCTGGCTAGGAATTCTATAAATATAAAAAAAGAGAGCCTATTGTCAGACAGTGACTTAGTGCCATAAAAATGAAAAGTATGAGTGACATTTAAGGACCTAATTGTTGTTTCAGAATAAATAGGAATTATAGAGTAGTTAAAAATAATATTTCTTGGCAAGAAGGGAATTGAGTGTTGAGTGAGACCTTGATACAGATACCAGGTTGTATCTAAAAGCTAAAAAAATTAATTCTAGTGGATGTTTAAAGCAAACAAGCAGAAAACCAAGTAATGACACTAGTGGCTCATGTCTGTAATCCTAGCTACTTGGGAGGCTAAGATCTGGAGGATCTCAGTTCAAGGCCAGCCTGGGCAAATAGTTAATGAGAGTCTGTCTCCAAAATAACCAGAGAAAAATGGGCTGATAGTGTGGCAGAAGTGGTAGAATGCCTGCTTTGCAAGCACCTGAGTTCAAACCCTACTACTACCAAAAAAAAAAAGTAATTCAGTGAGGGTGGATAGGACTTGGTGATGAGAAATAAGGATGAAGACTTCATGCCTGAAGTTAGTAACCCTCCCAATTCTGTCTGCAGTAGTAGGACAGTTGAAATTGCTTGGGAAGATAATTTCTGTTTGAGGAATTTGAAAGAAAAGCTGAGAAGTTGATTCAGAATAAGAATTTATCAGTAAAAAGAAAATTAGGAGAAGGGAGGAATATGATTGTGTTGGGTACATATGAGTTAAATGGACCTTACTGTTCAGATTTAGGAAAAGCAAGAAGCGGCCTCTTGGGAATGGCTTCTGGAGAAAGGAATAAAAGATGCTTTGATACAGAAAATAGATTAGAAGTAGTACAGTATTGTGGGAGAGAGACTATAAGATAGGAAGTTGAGCTCAGCATTGCTGTTAGCTAATTGCATAATCATAGGAATATCAGTATCATTGCCTCAGTTACCTTATTTCCAGAAAAAAGATTAAACTAAACCTCTGAGGTCTTATTAGTTCTGCTAGAGATTTGTCCTTTAAGAGGTGTAATATTCTAGAACAGTATTGTTTAATCCTGCTGTTGCGGCTAGATTGCATTTCTGGGCTCTCCAGTATACTAGCCATTAGCCACATGTCGCTGTTGTGTACTTGAAATATGGCTAATATGACTATAAAGAATTGAGTTTTTAACTTAACTTTTTAATTAAATAGACACTTGTGCTACTGGCTATTGGACAATCTAGTTCTAGACAAACAACTCTTGGGTTTATTTTCTTTTCTTTGTCAACAAATCTTTTATGCCTTTCCAATAGTTGCTGTGTAATCTGTTTTTTTTCTCATAATTGATTTCTTTTGATAAAAACTAGGAAGGGGAGAACATATGAAGTTTTATTCTAGTGCTAGCCACCCAGTAGCTCAAAAATGAACTGTTGAATGAAATTTTTAACATAGCAGCTAAATGTGACAAAGTTAGGATGATTTTTGATGTTGTTTTTAACATTGTAGTATAATACTTAGATGCAGTGAATAGTGTTGGTATGTTTAGTTTGCTGATAATGTAGAACACTAAAAGTGATTTTGTGCTTATTTCTGTAATTTTTAGACTATCATAGAGCTCTCTGAAGAGCGGGATGGTCTTCATTTTCTACCCCATGCCTCTTCATCTGCCCAATCACCCTGTGGTTCTCCAGGCATGAAACGAACAGAAAGTCGACAGCATCTGTCAGTGGAATTGGCAGATGCAAAGGCCAAGATAAGAAGGCTTAGGCAGGAACTGTAAGTTACTGATTTTCAAGGTTCATTGAATTTATGTCATCACAAAGGTGACCTAAGTGGTATTTTTAGGCTTAAGGTCCTCCCTTGCTAGCTCTGTCAAAGTTTTCATGAGTATTTGTCAAAATGAGAAAAGTGAGAGGACTGGCATAAGGTTTTTGTAATACTAAATCTTATCAACTTAAAGGATGCTCTTTATTCTGGATTTATGTCCTTTCTATTTTTCTAGTGTTAAAATCTCCCTTCTTTTATAAAATAGTGTCCTTCCTTGGCATATTGGGAGGCTCCTTAATTTTTAAAATTTCATATTTCTTGAAATCCCAAATGAGTCACATCAGTAACTTCAGCTGTTTTAAATTTAATGTTTTAAAAGACTGAATTGTTGTATAGCATTACAAAAAAGAAATTTTCCGTGTATCTTCTGCATTGATTAATTGAAATGCCTGAGTCACCTATTTAGTAAAATAAATATTCAGGTTTGGTTAGTACTGATAAAATTATATTTACTTCACTTTCTAAGATTGTTACAGAAAAGTAGGTATAAATTTCAGGTAGCCATTCCTTGGGGAACCACAAGTAGAAGAAATACGACCCATCTCTGTTGGAGATTTTGTATGTTGTACTTTAAAAAGAACAAAGGATTTTTGTTTTAGGGACTTTTTCCTCCTTTTGGATGTTTTCTTGGAATTCAAGCTTCAGAATGTAGATTTTAAATTTAAAACCACAATGTAGCAATTACATTTATTTACTGATTATTTAAAGTGACTAAAGAAAATAAATTGAATATGCAAGATAGAAAAAATATTATAGTCTATAGGAAAATTTGAAAAGAAAAAAATACAGCTTTCATTTGTGGATGTCTGCATTATAATGTCTCTATTGAAGTGAACACGCCCAGGATATTCTATAAACAGCTGCACCAGGAAAAATTAGGGAAGAGATTGCTGTTATTAGTTTGACTGGCAGTTAATGGATAGCCTAAACAGTGAACACTAGTTCTTTCCATATAATTTAGCACAATCTTCTCCAGTCTGTAGAAAAAGCATGTAATTAGTACTGCACTGATGGCTGTGAATCTGTTTAACATTTTGTACTATATTAGAATTTAATTTTCAAATAAAATTTACTTGGCCATAGAGTACATTGAAATTCCAAACAACTTGGAGGATTGACAAAATTTAGTTTCATATATACTGATTAGAAAATGTAAATGGATATTTTAATGGATAAATAAATATGCCAAAGATAGCAAGTATTCCCAGTGATTAGCACTTTGTCAGATACCATCCAATGTATCTTTGTTATCCCTTGAATGTATGTTGTTTCTTAGATTTCTTTTACTAACCCTTGTTTTAATTCTTTTTATTGAGACAAATCTTTACTAAACTTAATCAGCTACAGAAATCATGATGGACAATAGTAGTCCAGGTTGCTTTATGCTTAGTGAAAAGTGTAAAGTAACCAACTGTAATTAGAATGTACAAATCAGCTAAAGTATGCTTACTTATTGGAAATGTATCACAATAGAATTGCTTTTGCTTTATGAACATTCAGAGTAAAAGTATAATGTATGAAAAACTTTTATGTAGTAAATGCTGCCTTTATCCCATGTATTGAAAGTTTTTTTGATATAAAGTATTGATTCTTTTTTAAAAAAAAAAAGGCCTTAATAGATAGAACTCAGTGTCTGAAAATTCATCCTTTAAAGTGTACAGTTGACTGCACGTGTGGCTTACAAGGTAGAGCCCCTTCCTAGCAAGCACAAGGCCCTGAGTTCAAAGCCTAATACTGCCAAAAGGAAATCCTTAAAGTACATAATTAAGTGGGTTTTAGCTTATTAATAGTATTGTGCAACCATTGCACAATAATTTCAAGGCATTTTCATTTTTAAGATTTTTTTCCCAAAAAACTACCCCATGTTCTTTGTTTATCCCCTTTGCCATCAGCTCCTAGCAACCACTAATACGTTTTCTGTTTCCATTCGTTTGCCTATTCTGGACATTTCATAAATGGGATCATATTAATATGTGGCCTTCTGTGATTGGCTTCTTTCATTTTGCATAATATTCTCCAGGCTCATCCATGTTGTGTATGTGAGAGTACTTTAATTTTAATTTTTTTTATGTGTGGATAATACCACATTTTAAATTTCCATTAATCAGATCATGGTCATTTGAATTGCTTCCCCTTTTTTTCAATATTGGGAGTTTAAACTCAGGGCTTCTCACTTGCTCGGCAGGTGCTCTACTGCTTGAGCCATGCCTTCAACACTTTTTTCTGTGGTTATTTTGGAGATCAGATCTCACTTTTTGCACAGACCAGCCATTGCTGGAATGAGAGGCACATGCTACCTTGTCCAGCTTTTTTGTTGTTGAGATATATGGTGTATTGCAAACTTTTTGCCTAGGGTTTGCCTGGAACCGTGATCCTCACATGTAGCTTGGGATACCAGGGACATGCCACTTCATCAGCTATTGATTTAGACCGTGTCTTGCAAACTTTTTGCCTGGGCTGTCATTGGACTGCTATCCTCTCTATCAGTTAGGCTTATAAGCATGAGCCATCAACTCCCAGATCTTTCATTTTATTTATTGTTATAAATAATGCTGCTATGGTTATACATGTGCACTTTTAAAAATACTTGGTTTATATATTCATTTATTTGTCAACACTAGGGTTTGAACTCAGGGCCTTACACTTAGTAGGAAGGCACTTTCTACAACTTGAGCCATGCCCTAGCCCACGTGTGCACTGTTTTATGGGCATACATTTTTAATTCTCTTGTATGTATACCGAGGAATGGACAACATTAAATATTGCTAATGTAATTAATGCTACTGAATTTTACACTTAACATTGGTTAAATTGACAGTGTTCATGTTATACATTTGTTAGCACAATGAAAAAATTGAATTAAAAAAAATTCGATAATCCAAAAAGAAACATTTGCAAGAAATGACTTACTAAACACAAAAGTTACAGCTTTTAATCTAAGAAAATGACAAATCATACAGTAGAAAGTTAGGAATAAATGTGAGCTAATAATTTACAAAATAAAAAAAATTTTAATAACATGAACAGAAAAATAAGTTTAGCATTTCCTAGTATTCGAAGAAATATAAATTAGAACAATAACAGCATTTTTCACTTAAGTTGTTTCATAAAGAGGTACCTTTATCATCTACTGGTTGGTAATGACATTTCTGGACGACAGTTGGACAATATATATATATCAAGTACCTTTGAACCTGTACTGTGTTTTTAGAATTATGTCCTGAAACACACAAGAGTTTATGCTGTACAGTGAGTTTCTTTACCAAAGCATTATTCATTATAGTGGAAGGTAGAACCCACTTAGTTATACTATGGTTCCTCTTATAAAAGAGAATATCACCATTAAAAATTATATTCTGAAGAAAAAAGGGAGTATATGAGGCAATGTGAACAATAGGTTGTTTATACAGTGACCTTTTATTATTAACGAACAGAAGGTGGAAAAATAGATAGGGAGGCTTACTTTGAGGAGATTATTTCTAAAGGGGAGATAAAAAAAATAGGAAGAAATTGAAGACTTACAAGCTACCTGGTAGAAACTAACAGAGAAGTGAAGATTTTAGGTGTCTATATGACAAGTAGTAAGTGTATAATTTCTTTTAGGGCATTGTAAATGTTGAAAATAGTTTGGAGACCCTTATGAGTCTTAGACCTAGATAGTATTACATTATATAACCCTTCCAAGTTAATTATTTTTGATTATGCAGAATGGAAGAGAGAAAGGAAATTGAGGCTGGGAGTAGAAAGAGAGAGAAAGAAACTGCATAATGAACTTACGAGTTAGCCTTTGAACAACATTAGGGGAGAAATTTGATGACATCTAAACATATACCTTCATGGTACATTTGTTTTTTCTCTACTGGGTTAGGATTGTGGCTAATACTATCAAGTAACTATTTAGTAATGATAATTCATTTGTATTAATGAAGATGATGATCATAGTTTTAAAAGTAGTGCTTTAATTCTCTAATATTTTTTGCATTTAAGGGAGGAAAAGACTGAACAGTTGTTGGACTGTAAACAAGAACTTGAGCAAATGGAAATAGAATTAAAAAGGCTGCAACAAGAGGTTTGTACCTGGAGCTGTTATTATATAGGACTACCAAATAATTGGAAATTGATTTTTCTACTTGTAATTGATAACCTGGACTCAATACTTTATACAAATAAATGTGGTAAGTAAGTCCTACAAAAAATTGGGTGACTTCTTTAGTGTCTTTCTAAAACATGGAAGAGCCAAAACTGGAAATCAAAGTCATTGGACTTTTCTTTCTACTCTTCAAACTTTGCTAAGATTCCAATGAGCCTCTTTGGACTGGGGCAGTTCCAAGACTCCCTTATTTGTGTATTTGGCGTCTGTGGCCTTGGACGCTGGAACAACTCTACACAATGTGAATTGTGCTGTTCATGTGTATTTCCCTGGGTCTCCTCTCTGATGGTGGCATTATATTAACTTATATATTAACTTTTTAATTTTTTTACTCTTTTCCTATTAAATTAGATAAAATCTTTTTGCTTTTAAAAATTATATTTTTTATATTACTTAAAAGCCTTGTATTTTTTTCATCTTGAACCAAACATTTTTAAGAATTTACTTCTTTTAGAAAATATGTGGGAAGAGGATGAGTGGGATGGCAGGTTCTGGGGGTGAGGAGAGAAGGAAAGAATAAGAGAGGGTAATGGGGATGAGCATGATCTAAGTACAGTTTAAACATGTATGAAAATCCATTATTTTGTATAATTAATACACTCTTTAATTTTTAAAAAGCCAGTATGGAAAAAAAAATTCATTTCTTTTAGCCACTTCAATGTTTTCATTGGGAATAGTGTCTGAATTCTTTAAACCCATAGATGCTAAGGTTTAGAGTAAGGTTGACAACGGTTTCTTCCTTTAGCTTTCCCCAACCTACCATTTTATTTTTTTTTATTTTTTAATTTTTTCCTTTTATTATTCATATGTGCATACAAGGCTTGGGTCATTTCTCCCCCCTGCCCCCACCCCCTCCCTTACCACCCACTCCGCCCCCTCC